TGCTACTACTGCTCCTACTACTGCTACTACTGCTCCTACTACTGCTACTACTGCCCTACTGCTACTACTGCCCTGCTCCTACTACTGCTACTACTGCTCCTACTACTGCTACTACTGCCCCTGCCCTACTACTGCTACTACTGCTCCTACTACTACTGCTACTACTGCTCCTACTACTACTGCTGCTCCTACTACTGCTCCTACTACTACTGCTCCTACTACTACTGCTCTTACTACTACTACTTCTCTTACTACTATTGCTCCTACTACTACTGCTCCTGCTCCTACTATTACCGCTCCTACTACTACTATTGCTCCTACTACTACTTCTCCTACTACTGCTCCTGCTACTACTACTCCTACTACTACTACTACTGCTCCTACTACTACTGCTCCTCCTCCTAATGCTCCTGCTCCTACTATTACCGCTCCTACTACTACTATTGCTCCTAATACTAGTGCTCCTACTACTGCTCCTACTAATACTGCTCCTCCTCTTACTGCTCTTGCTCCTACCGCTCCTACTACTATTTCTCCTCCTCCTACTACACATAGGGCACGTAGGCACAATGATGCAAATAAGAGTTTGCAACCTAAGGTCAAGTTCTATGTTCCACTACGGTCAAGTTTATTTGGTGTCAAAAGGGTACTATGGTTAAGAGTTTGGACGTGGTAGCAAGGCAGCCTCCCTTGAGGGTGTATGCCAACGGGCGGCTTCGCAAGTTTATGATTTAAATCGAACTCGACTCCATGGTTTGGGTGGATTTAATAACTCGGATGAACCCTTATTGCCATGAGCGTTTTTGGGTTGATAGAGCTTAAATCCTCCAAGGCTAAGATGTTTGTAAAATACACGTTTTTTAGAAAAATCGAAAGAAGCTAAAAACGAGAAAAATACAGAGCCACTCGGAGAATTTTACAGGTACCGCGCCACTGCAGATTTGGTTGTGTCACGGTGCAATACGCTGCGTGATGGTATACTGTGCCGTGACACGACAATTCTGCCGTTGCGCGGTGCTTGTAAAATTCAAGCAATGCCTTATTTTCTTCGATCGCAATCAAGTTATTCAATTCTTCCAACGGGATGAGCCTAAATACAACGTTAAACGTCAATGCATATGCAAAAATGTCAATTTAATCACACGAATACGATTCAAGAATCTTTCGAGTCTCATCCACTCATCTCAATTAAATACCAATCACTCAAGTCGATAAATAACCAAGAATCCTTCCCAGTGGAGTTGCCAAATTGTAGGCGTCATTCAAAGCGCGCCTACTTTAAGCATGTGGTGAATATGCTTGACACTCATAGGAAGTGGGAATTGACATAATACGATTAGGGACACGATTAGGGACAAAGCAAAGTAGGGAGTCGCCAACAAGTTTGTAAGGATCTTGTAAACCAATCACGGATCATTATAAGGCAACCACGAATAAGGGACAACGATAGGCAACAACGATTGACCCGTGAAGGTTACACCTCATTCATAATCCATGAGATTACTAACTCCATATGGTTTGGAACCACGAAAGGAGGATCGAGGATGATGGTACAAAGTGAGTCATGGAGTCACATTTGCCCGTATTGGCTTCTACTCGATTCTTATTGTGAAAAGTGATTCCTGCGATCTCAAAGGCATGAAAACAAAGATTCAATTTGATCCAAACTGATATTAAGCTAAATTGGTTTAATGTTAATGCAACATATAATTCTAAAATATTGTGTTCACTTAATTACACAACAAGATTAAAAGGAACCTAAACCGGTCGTCCAAATTATCTTATTAGTCGTGATATTTAATTACATATTCCCTTTAAACATGCAATATGGTGATCAACAATAAACAACAAAATAAACATCAACATTGAAAGCAATTTAACAATAATAATGTTAGTCAAATCAAATTACAATAAACTTAATCATGATACTAGAAATATAAAATAAAATAAGTAATTAAATTAATTAATTACTAACATTTCGCGCGTTCCTTTAAATTGCTACATCATGAATAAATTGTTAGTAACTTCAATAAAAATAAATTAAATTGAAACAATTAAATTAAATTAAAAGTAGAGTGGATTTGGTCCAAACCCTTAGTCGGTTCTACCTTTCACGCCTTGGTTTAAGTATGGAACTTCGGGTAAAGTATGGACTCGTTGGAGTGCATAGAGGAAGTATTATGAGAGAATAGGGTGGCTAGTGTTTAGGCTAAAGAGAGAAGAGAATGATTGTTGGTGTAGGGAGAAAGAGAATGATTGTTGGTGTAGGGAGAAAGAGAATGATTGTTGGTGCCCCAAAATTGGAGAAATCAGGTTTGTATTTATAGAGAAAATAAGAGGGGCGAGATACAGAACCCTAGAAACGAAAAGGCGCCGCGGAGAAACCCTAGAAAAATGCCGCTTCACGGCATGTGTGCCGCAACACGGCGCAAAATACCGCGATACGGCGTGAAATAGTGTGACGCGGTGTGTCTGCCGTGACACGGTGCACACGTTTTCCTGAAAACAGTCCAGATTCATTTATTCTTTGCTTAATAATTAAGTACGTGAGATATTATGCGCCGTTTCAGCTATTCAAGATTAATTTCAGGCTTAGGGTTTTTATTATTTTTTAATTGGGCTTAATTAATAACTAACACGAAATGAATTAAAAGGGTTTGGGCTAGGACATGAGTTGGACTAAGTTTGAATAAATGGCTTGACTGATTTGTAAGTTGAATATGTTTCACTGAACATGGGTTTTAAGCACTCTCGAGATTAAATATTCGACCCGACCAATAATGGCGGTGAAAGGTTGTTCATCATCGGGTTTGGTTTTGGGAAGACATTTTTAGGTGTCTACACAAGATAAATGATTATCATGTCAAGATTAAGCTTAGGTTATGGTAGCTTAAGCCCAAGGAGGTGTCACTTTGGTTTACTTGTGTCAAGGACAAGGGCTTGGACGAAGGACAACCCTTGAAGAAGATTTCTTGTTTGTCCCGATTATGATGTAGTGACTAACGAAGGGGATGTAAGTTTTTCAAGTGTACAAATGTTGAAGCACCAACAGATTGGCAGACTGAAGTTATTTTGGGTTTGATTCACGAAAAGGAAAGTTTAAAAAATGAGTTGATGACCATGAGGAAATAACATCGTGAAGCTAACCAATATGCAAGGAAGTTGAAGGCAGATAATACCTTGATGAAGTTCTAAAGGGTTGGAAGAGTTATTACTTGCAATTGGCAATTTGTGGTGCATTATTGTAGTTGCATTTGTTGTTTTTTATTTTTATGCTATGGAAAGGGAAATGTAACTAGTAGTTAAGTAGTATGGTACCTTAAGGCTTTTTGTTTCTTCTCTGCTTTGCTAGGTCCTGTAATTCAATTAAAATGTACTCAGATGTTGCTATTTGGCAAAAAATTAAATAAAGTTAGTTTAATTAAGTTACCTGCAGTACCTGTGCTGATATAGTTGTTGTTTGTTGCTGGCTTTGTTGGCTAGATAAGGGCTATTCTTGACTAAAAGAATACACATTCAGTTCCCCCTCATAGTCAGAGTAAAAAGCCCTTTGAACAGGTTGTGGCTGAGGTGTAGAACCACTGTGTTGTTTCGTTAAAACAACCCTGCTGCAGTAACAAAGCTTATTAAATTAAGGCATTTGTTCTGAAACTAAAAAATAATAAAAACAAGAATTATTTTCTTACTGTTGCTACTCGCTAAAACCTATTTAGGTAAGTGTAAATGCCCACCCCTCCTCATATGAATTGGTATTTGACCTTCAGCTGATGTTGGTGTAGAAGTGGAGTTCAAATTTTGTGAAATGTTGCTTCTATTTGCAGCAACATTTTTATAGAAGTGGAGTTCAAATTTTCGAGGTTTTCAGTGTCCCTCGAGAGAGTTATAACACCAAGACTGGATTCTAGACGCAAAACAATGGAGACTCCGGTTAGGTGGGGTTCCGCCTTTGACGATCAAGTTAGATCTTGTATGGAGTTTGTAAAAAGTGCGAAAAGTAAAGTATCTTCTCGGATTCCGAGAGAATTTCTACAATCAATGATTGCTTTGTTTTTTATGAATATTTCTGAATGTGTCCCATAATGGGAACATCTCCCTAATTATAGGGTCTCGAAATACGAGCTGCCATCCTAGGTTACGGAAACCTAGGAATGGTGGGCTATCTCGGAAATTGGGCCATGAAGGCCACCTTTTTCCCAATGATTGGAGATGCCGCGTGTCAGCAGGGGGTTGGTTCTCTGTGAACCTCTCTTGAGGTGACACGTGTCGCCATCTCATTAGGCTACGTGGCCCTGGGTATTTTTACCCTAAACATTTGGCCCTCACGGGTGTGACGTGGCATGCCACGTGGCACCGATGACACTTGTCAGGCGGCCATTGGAAAATGGAATTTAACTATTTATCTTCTAGAGAAATTACGGGGATGCCCCCTGAATTACCCTTCTATAAATAGATTTTTACCCCTCCCTTTTTTGGACATTTCCAAAACTAAGAGAGAGAGACATCCGTTTTTGGAGAGATAAACTCTCACAACCGCGTGTATATCTTTAAGACAATTGCCTTATTTTTCCATTAGGTACAGACGATATAATGCCTGTGTTTGATAGACAGGGAAATTCTTGAGAACCGTCTGAGAGGTTTGCAAGCAATCCTTCTTTTTCTAGAGGGTACATCCGGGTAACCGTCTGTACACCCAACAAACAAAACTTCCCGGAACCGTCTGGGTATCCTTACAGAAAATTCACTTGCTTTCAAGACGAGTACCTCCGGTCTTCCGTTTGAGCACCTTGCAAGCAACTGTTCAATTGTTGCCTACTAGTAACAACTGGACACCGCTTGACTACCTTTCAGCTCATCTTTGAGGTACTGTCTCCCCCTTCTCAGCTCTTTCATATATTTCAGTTTGTGTACATATTTCCCAATAAATGAATTCACCAACAGCACACACGACACACCACAATTTAGAGGGCAGCCGGTCCCCTGGTACGGTTGAGTCTAGGACTTGGGGTACCGCCTTTGGATACAGGGATCACTCTTGTTCATCTCCCAATCCGACCGTCTCCGTGTCTGTGCAGGAAACTATGTCTCGAACTAGATGGACGACTGTAGATCCGGAGTATAGAGAGGAGAACTCGGAAGAAGTACCGCATGAGGAGGAACAGACATAGATGGCAAGGGGATCTCCTAGGGGTACCCCCAGCACTCCCAGTGATGGAATCCTAGGATCTGATAACGGAGATGGTGAAGAAACCGTCTCTAAAGCTAGTTTTAAGGCGGCGGGTGAAACTCCCCCAGTTGAGAGAGACAGTAGTGAGACCGCCTCTACTTCTGAAGAAAGAAACAACTCACTATCCTCGGCTGTGGATAGCAAAGAAGAGGAGAAGCCAACTTGGAGTAATAAAGGAGATCCGTTTGAGATCCATGTCTCTGCCTGAGATAGGGCGAATATGGAGAGGCACCTTGAAACCTTCTTCCTTCAACGTTCCCTTGGGGAGGGATATACCGTCTGGGTATGATGACCAACCCAACGCCAACAAATATTTAGGCTGCTATGAA